AGAAAAGGATTTTTCGTATACCAAAAGATGATCTTCTTCGTAGTCTCAAACATTGATCGCATAGACTTTTTCTTATACTATTGAAAAGAAGAGGCAAACTATAAAATAAGCTTTACCTTGTGGATTGTAGAGTTTTTCACGCTGCAACTTATCGCATATTCTGTTTTTTTTAATAAAACATACTAAGAGATTACAATATGAAATACAAAGTTCTGCCATTTATTACAGTTTCTATTATGATCTAATGCTACCAGTTAGTTTTCAACAAAAACAGTTCTTATCGAAATTTCATTATTATGACACCCGTCGAATAGTGACCAAATAGTACAGATAAATAGAGCGAAAGATGCTCTATCTGTTCGTAAAAAAGAAAATTTTTTAAAGCTTTCTGTAAGAACAAAAGGCACCTCCGGTCCTACTTTTGAGTACTTCTGAGTGTTTTCATTATGCTGAATATGCTGGAAACTAGCACATCATGTGTGTTTTTCATTTTGAGTATGAAAAGAGACTCGTAGAACAGGTCAAGAGGGATTTGTTCGTACGGGTTTTGTAAAGCTTTCCACGATAGGTCTTCTGAAAAAAAAGAAAGGCTTTATCATTTGTCTGTGCAAAGATATCCACAAAATACAACATGTTTTGGGACACCTGACACTTCAAAAATTTGTTTTGTGTTTTTCTCAGAAGGTGGGTTTTATTACGTATTTGCAAGGATATTCCACCACAGTACAAGATAAAGTCCAATACGTTTTTTACTTGAAAGAGCATCAGAAACTGTAGCTGCCCTGAGGCCCATATTTTTTAATTTCGCTTTAATTTTAATAAAAAACGACATATATATGAATGGATAACCATTTTTTTCGTGTTTTCAATCGGTGTTTTTGAAACATTGAACTTTCTACTAGTTTTTTTTCAATACACAAAGTAAGAATATAAAAAAGACGAGCTTCAGAGCACCTGCAATTTTTGACGCTCTTTCAAGTAAAAAAAACTTCAAAGATATAGAACGAAGTGTTACAGAGAACCTAGGGTTCTACGATTACGAAAGTATGAACTGAGAAAAAATGAAACAAATTTTAGTTTTTAAAAATTAGTGTTTTTTGTAGTAGAAGTTGATGGAAATCATCAAAAATTTTGGCCAAAAAGAGATATTCTGGAAAAGAAAACACAGTGTTTCTGAAAGAGCAAGAGACGGACTATCTTCCCATGCATTTATCTCAATTTCGACAATTTTCACGAAAAGTGACCTTTTTGAGGGGCCTTAAGGAATGTCTGATGGTGTTCTGGAAAGTTCTAGGACATTCCAACATTAGTCATTGTTGACTCTGGGTTACCTACTGTTCACTTTTGACCAAGTACTAATGAAATACATCACTTATAGAGATCTGCAACGTTCTAGACAATTCCAACCGCATTTCTAGAAAAATTCCAGGACCTTCTAAAACCTTCCATAACATTCGAGAACTCTCAGCATCTAGAATTTCTAGAACCTTCGCGGATCCTCTAGAACCTGCCATAACCTCTAAGACCTTCCAAAATCTAGAATCATCTACAACCTTTCAGAACCTTCGAGACTTTCCAAAATCCAGGACCTTCTAGACTCTTTTCCGGCCATAAGACCAACATCCTAACCTTTGGCCCGGTAACAGACAGACAACAACGCTTTATTATAGAAGCATGGATGGGATCTCGAGACAGGTCTCAGCAAGTTAATAATGGTACCCCAGACAGGACATTTACCAGTGAAAATCAGGGTCTTGGTACGTTTTTCGGTTCAGAAGGATTGTCTGTGAAACGGTTCACCGTCTACTACGGTTTTCTTTACCCTTGTACCCCTAGTATTTGGTTTCAAAAAATGAATTAGGAACACTTACTCGTGTATCTGTTTGTTGCAATAGTTGAATCTGAACAATTCAAATACTTTTCGCTAAAAGACAACAATCTGCCGAACTTGAATATGTCTTTATTTGCTGCGAAATGAGAGACGTGAGTGAATAACTGGTTGTCGCTTATTTTTTGAATGGAGTGTTGTTTTTTTATGCTCGAACATAACTATTATATTCTTTTATATCTATAACATGCATGAATGATTCCGTCGCTGTTTTTTCTCCTTCAAAGATAAATTAAAAAGATAAATGATTTTTATCGATCATCATTACCTATAATTGACAAGTTAGTAACGGTCATGTGTAGAGTCATTGAAGCGAGGAAAAGTTGGAAAAAAGCAACATGAGAGTGCACGACGAAACAAATTCAAGTTGCTAAGCAAGTAGTAGATATGGGACCAAACGGCAATGTGAGGTTTCGATTTGAGGATGTATGAAATGGCTTCAGCCTCCGAAATTTTCGTAGGCTAAATAAAAATTATATACCAATCTATACTATCTAACTATAAGAAATCTCACGTCAAAACTGCCTACCGTACTTTGGAATAAATGAATAATAATAATAATATATGTATATATAAGTCCGAGTTAATCTTTATTGATGAATATCAATAATGACATATATATATATATATATATATATATATATATATATATATATAATGTTGAAAACGTTGTTGATCAATAACAATAATGGT